TTTTAAATACTTTGATGGAATCAATGACAAGCAATTTTTATGATAAAGTAATTAACTAATGTTATATACTAATACACAGAGACATCATTAAAAGTTTAAGAAATATTCTATTGTAAAATATAATTATTTTACATTTTATAGTTTTTAAAAATTCTGATAAATTCTACAATTAAAATTATGAATTCAAAAAGATTGTGCAAGAAATGTTAATTCCAAATATTAAAAATAATACCCACCAATTGCGAGACCATCACAAAAGTTGTGAAGTCCATCACCCATGACAACCATCCATGCAACTGCAGATATGGAATTTGGCACTTCGTGACTATGTCCATGACCATGATGATGCATATGATGCTCTGTCACTGTTACCACATAACTATTGTCTGTATGATCATATACTACTGTTTCTCGATGACATTCATCAATTGGAATATCCAATTCTGTTGGTTTTTCTGTTGCAACATATCCAACTTCGACCTGCAGAGACTTCACTGGTGAAGGGGACTTTTTTTGAGACATCCTTCGAGGCTCAATGTTGTCCCAATCACCATCAGGTGGTGCATCTCCTTTGGCAGCATGATTAGAAGAAACATGATCATCTTTAGTCTTATCACAGTAACTAGGTGAATCTTTTTCTTCTACTGTTACATCATTCAGTCCTGTAAGATTAAAACTATATAAACTAAAAAATGATAAATCTATAAATAATTACTTGAAATTTACTCTGTAAGGCTTCCATTGCTGAGGGATCCACATTATAACCATAAGAACCATGTTTATGATGGGAAAGTTTTTCTCCTACAACTCTACTTTGTTCAGTATCTACAGCTTGTAGAGCATGTACAAGTTTCGGCATTTTAGAAGTCTGTAACTGCAACTAAAATGTATGAAAATAATGATATACAATCTGAAGATAGGAATAATAAGCAATTATTATAATATTACTAATTTTATTATTGCTTATAGCATATTGAAATATAATTATTTTGTGAAGTTAATCTACTTTGTTTAATATCTCAGGATAGGGTAAGCATTAAGTAACAAAATTTGGCATGATGGTTAATGAGAAGCATTCATGCTAATCAATTTTGGTGGTTGAAGGTTGAAGGAGTGGTCAGATAAAAAAGAGATCGTATGTATCTCCAGTAGGGTCAGATTTTAAATGATTTTCCCATATGAATATTTGCCTACAATCATTGTAAATTGGAGCTACCACCAGAATGATACGGTCCCACATCCTCAAACATCAAGAGGACATTAGAAATAACAGACCAGCTACAGAATTAGCGAAAAAGGTGCTAGACCAAGATTATCTTCCACTTTGGAACCATGCTAAAGCATTTTAAATGATTATTTTACATTCTTAACATTTATACTTTTTTTAAAAATAAAACTCATTTCTAACCTCAAAATTAAGCTTTTTGTCATTTTACAGTAATTAAAAATATAAAAAGTTTCTTATAACAAAGTCTCATAATAGATGGTATCACATACAATTTTATTAAGTTAGATTGCAGTGACGTGCCATACATGGAAGCTGTGGAAATGCCACTTCCCTTGTATTTTTTTAAAATATAAATACATATTGTGCGATTATTTTCATATTTTAATGTACTTTGAATTACTTAAAATTAATATTTGATTATAACCACATTATGTATTTTATTAAAAATTTCTATATATGTGAAAAACAATGATAAGATTGCTATTGTATATTCGAATATAAATTCGTAAATGCATATTCCCAATGGAAGTGACTATGGGACAGCTTTCATGGCAAAAATATGTGAATCGTGTAAAGCAGCCAGATTACAGGCATTCACGCATGCGCTTTACAGAGCACCAATCTCTGACAGTTTAGCTGGTGGATGCTACACATCAAAATATTGTATAATGCTTCCAACGATTTCATCCATTAGCCACTGGTAGGGAGCTATTTGACTAAGTGGATTGTTTTAAGATTTAAAAAGTAAAGAATATTTAATGTTATTTTTATGTATGTTTCTTTACAAAGCTATATTTAACCATGATTATATTGACAGATTTTCAGACATAAAATCTTTAGAATTTTTTATCACTTTTAGATGTTAATAATTTTAAATATTATGAGAAACAGTTTTTCGAAGCAAGTTTTAATTCTTTAAATTAAGTAAATATTATGGAGAATTTTTTGATTTATCTAAATTATGTAGTGAATTGCAATATTTATATTCGTGTCCAGACTATATTGGCAAGTCACTCTTAAACATAAAATATTATAATTAATGACAACCCAAAGATGTACTAAAAGAATTATATGATTTAACATCATTAATTTTTATGGTACCATCTACGAGTGCATCTGTTAAGTGCAGTTATTCAACAATGAAGCGAATTGATACATTGGCAAGGAGCACTCAGTCAGAGGAAAGATTGTTGTCACAGCATTGCTTTATATAGAAAAAGAGCTTTTAATGATGGAATCAAGGATAAGCAATTTTTATGATAAGTAATTAACAACTTCGCAAAAAAGAATTGCCAAATAGAGACAGTTTATAAAAAATAATAAAAACAAGTTCTTATATCTTTGTTTCGTGTAAATTATCTATTTTAGAATTAAAATAAATAAACTGTTTATTTTTGTTATTTCCAGTATTTGTTTAAATTTTTATGGAAACACAGCTTCCCTATCATCAAATGTCATGGCATGTCACTGTTATATTGTAATTAAAATTATAAAAGCTATTTTCTAAATAAGATCTCATAACAGCTGGAAACATTATGCAACTCATTGCTGGATTTTTTTTAATGTGTGAAGCAACTGTTTTAGTACTCACTTCAGGTTTCAATACAATTAATTTATCATAAGATATCATCATATTTATATAAATGTTTACAGTTAATTTAATAATATTTTAATTTCTTGCTCCTTGTCCAAGCATTAATTTTATATAAAAGAAAAATCATCAAATGTATGAAGTGCTAGCTGACAACCAGTTAGTCAGTGATTAAGGTGACATCCTACCACTTTGGGGGACCCGGGACCAGAAAAACCTCAGGAATTTTTCGGGAGGTGGTCTGTCTGGCTATATCAGCCTTGTTCCTCATCACCTGGTTGTCTCATCATGGTTTTGACCAAATCCACAATGGGCTTGCTAAAAATGCCCTCTTAGTGCCCACAGAACCAAAAGAGTTTTAAAAAAGTGCTAGATGATGATATAGTAGCCTTAAATGTTTTGAGCAATTGAGTTTTCAAAAATAAATTTTAATTATACAAATATTTTTTTTCCTAAGTTTCTATAAGAAGTATTTTCTCTATATAGAAAAATTGTGGAAAATTGAAATCAAATAGAATAATGATAAATATATACAGTACATGTTATTAAACTACATNTGATGCTGGTAACATCAAAGAATAATTGAAAAAAAATTTATAATGTATACATATAATATTGGGTTTACTAACTGACCTGTTCCAGATTTATATCTACCATGAAGTAATGATGTTTATAAGAGGCAAAGACTATCCAAAGTTGATTTTTAGGACATATTTACTTGTCTTTATGCATTATTTCAATTACTTTTGGGCAGACACAACCTGTGATTTTGCCTTATTTTTTGTAATATAAATGGTTCATTAAACAAGCATGTACATTTTAGAGAAGTGTAAACGGTGAATAAAATATTAATGCTATGCATATATATTAATATATGAATTTTTCTCGTTTTTAACTCAGATATTTCCTTTCTTTTTTAAAGGACTGCTTATAAATATGAGGGTTGTTCAAATGAAAACATACGAAACGACACTGTGTGTATTATTGAAGTCTTTATTCAAAGTAATCAGCAGAGGCCTGAGCGCAACTATTCCACTGTTTAACGAGCCGAAGGATTCCCTGTTTCCAGAATTCCTGTGGCCGTGACGAGAGCCAATCCTCCACTGTTGCCTTTAGTTTGTCGTCCGAGTTGAAGCATTTCCATTTGAAATGTTATTCGAGCGGACCAAACAGATGGAAGTTGCAGGGCGATATGTCTGGGCTGTAGGGCAGATGTTTAGGCTTCTCCCACTTGAACTTGGCTATTACACTTTGTGTGACCCTGGAGACGTGTGGATGCGCATTATCGCGGAGCAGAATCGCTTCCTCCGTGAGTAGCCCAGGCCGTTTGCAATGTGAACACTATGATGTTCTTGCAACAGTGGTGTTTGCATTTACTGGTAATTTCTCTAGTAGTTTTTAGTCAAAAGATTTATAGTTAAGCCTGTATATACGTTNAATCAACTACAATGATTTTTTAGTATTAACATGAATTTTATTGTCAGACATAGAAAACCATTAAAACTTTACCATTGCACTTTTTCTTCTTCTACGATAATTAGTTAAAAGATTTAATAATCTTTCTGCTATGAAAAATATATATACTCCAGCAAGAGCTGTGAGACCTCTCCAAACATGTGCTACTTCACCATGAGATGATACAGTTTCTTTGTCATGATGATTATCATTGGCAACCATAGCCTGTAATATTAATAATAATATCATTACTACTACTATTATTCATAATGAAATCAAACAGAATAATGATAAATATATACAGTACATGTTATTAAACTACATTATTATAATTAATTAACTATCAATAACTATCAACAATTCCATAACTTTTGTCGAAAATTTCCAAAATTTTGCAGGGAAGTTTGTATATTAGGGGATTGATGCTATTAAATTTTAGTAGTTAAAAGTCAAGGGAATGGTAGATCATATCTAAAATAACTATCAATATATAAAGATTAAATGATTTACTGAAAATCATTGACAATACATTTTAAATAAATGAACATGATAGTGATTGAATAATTTCATAATTAAAACACATAGTACACTATTAAATAAAAAACTTAGATAAGGAAATTTTATTCATAATATTAAATTTTGTAATTTTCTACAAAGAAAACTTACATGTGGCAAAAGATGTAGTAAAGCATCACCAGAAAGGCTTCCAATGGCCATCCCGACAAGAAATTGCAGTAATGTATGATAACATACACGTTGCATTATAGGTATGATTGCTACACATAATAATCCACATAAACTAATAGCCAATACAGCAACAGATGCATAAATCCATACTATCCCAACAAAAATTAAAAAAATAATTACAAAAACTATTACAAAATTCATAAAAAGTTATGAAAAATAAATAACTGTACCATGTTTATTCATAGTTTTTCCTTCAGTTTTATGTGAGAGATGCAATGAAATACCAGCAGCATCAGCACATCTATGATCTAATTGATAAATGATTGCTGGACAGATGTCAAGAAATTCCAAAGAAGAAATAATACTTGCATCAGGACTAATATTATAAGAATGAATTATTTCAGTAGCAGTCATACATTGCTGTGAAAATTGGAATAAAGCAAATTATATTTATATGCTGGAAAATTTTAATCTAAAAATTTTTAATTATTTACTTACAATGTCATGATCATGAATCTGACTGGATGAAATATNGTTTCCAGAATTCCTGTGGCCGTGACGAGAGCCAATCCTCCACTGTTGCCTTTAGTTTGTCGTCCGAGTTGAAGCATTTCCATTTGAAATGTTATTCGAGCGGACCAAACAGATGGAAGTTGCAGGGCGATATGTCTGGGCTGTAGGGCAGATGTTTAGGCTTCTCCCACTTGAACTTGGCTATTACACTTTGTGTGACCCTGGAGACGTGTGGATGCGCATTATCGCGGAGCAGAATCGCTTCCTCCGTGAGTAGCCCAGGCCGTTTGCAATGTGAACACTATGATGTTCTTGCAACAGTGGTGTTTGCATTTACTGGTAATTTCTCTAGTAGTTTTTAGTCAAAAGATTTATAGTTAAGCCTGTATATACGTTATTAATATGGAATGTGTTCGGGATTCTCGATAACTCTCTGAATCGGGAAGTAAAGGGAATGATGAGAATTATATACATTTAATTAAGGAAATGTATAGAAATGTTAAACTGTGTTAAGACAGGATACATTTAAAGTGTTAGAAAAAAGAGATTTAGAGTGGCTTTGCAGTTTATTGAGGTTAAGCCCATATTTTTTATTTATTTATTCATTAACATTAGGTGAATTATTGTAGTTTGCAGTGAGAAAAGAGCTATGATATATGTTATTCACAATTTCTATTGTGTTTATGAACTTAATGAGATAGAGAGAGACTAAAGTTGAGCAAAGAAAATTTCTGAACAGGTTAGAGAGGGGATTAATAGTCAGTAAATTTAGTTCTTGGATTACAAGTAGAGAGTGTTAAAGGAGGAAATAGAGGAAATTTCAACTATTTAGACAACACATTCAACATATTTACAGGCATTATGATTAGGGGATGACGAGTTAGAGGTTGACAAATAAAATGGTAAATGTAGGATGGCAAGAGTTCATTGTTAGATATTGATAGTGATTAGTGATGACTTGGAGGCTAAAAGAAAGACATGTTAGTGTTATTTTGAACCTATATAAATAAAGGACAGGTGTAGTAGGCCATCAATAAGTCTTTATTCATATTTTACTTTTGATAGTGCAGAATATTATATAAATTACTAAAATACAGTGGGTGTTCGGGTTAATGAACGGAATCAATTCCAAGACTTTGTTAGCTATCTGAATTGTATGTTAACCGATAAATTTATATGGGAATTTGATTAAACCATTCCGGAGACCCACAAAAATAAAAAAATTATATACTTTCTTATTACGTTTATTTATATTTAATAATAAAAATACACATATACACAGTCTTGTATTTTTATCAGTCATGTTATTTATGTTTGTGGGGTGTTAAAGTATCTGTCCAATGTCGATTGCTTTTCCTTCTTCTTTCAGGATATTTCAGAAGTAATTAAAAGCTAGTTTGTTTTTATCTGTATTAAATTTCTATGGCTATTTAAATATATTCGAGGATAAGCTACGGTTTTCCTAATTATATCGTCATACGTATGTAATGAAACAGTAAGACACAAATTTATTTANATTAAACCATTCCGGAGACCAACAAAAATAAAAAAATTATACTTTAAATTTATCTGAGAGATTTGTAAGCTTTGAGTACTGAGCTACTGAGTTGTGAAAGAGAAGGCTGAACTCAATGGTATAGCCCAAAAAAGAGAGGGATAGGAGAGATAGAGAGTAGGTGGGATGAGAGAGGAGGGAGGGTGAGATAAGTGAGGGGGGAAGGAAAAGGGAAAAGAAGGTGGGATTCATGAGCCCTTGACTGAATTCATTTGCTAAACAAATAAAAGGTTACAATTGGTGGTGCATGCAAAGTAATATGTATTTACAAATAAGATAGTAGCTCATTTGGTACATTGAAGTGTTGGACCATTGTAGCCACTTTGATAGAAGTAAACAGATAAGGGAGTGGCACAGCTTTGAAGTACTGCATGTCAATGAGCTAGAAGTTCATTAAAGCTATAGAGAACTTGCATTAATGTCATCTCACATGACTAAATCTTCATTGCTCCACCTCCTGTGCCATATTTGTGCTGTGAGGTTGTAAAGGTACAGTCGACCCCCCTATAACGTGCGTTCCTATAACGTAGCGAAAAAATTGTAGCAACATTCGTATAAAGTACCTCCTATAACGTCGTTTCACGACAAGATTGATAGAATCTGGACCAATAGTGGATGAGCAGCCGAACTACTTTCCTCCGCCCTGCGCCACGCTACAGAGCGGCTAAATTGAGTTTGCTATCGTCTGTACAGTATTATATATAAATTATATATAAATTAGGTACTGTACATATAATTATATATTAATTATATATAAATTAGGTACTGTATATATAATTATATATTAACTTAATTTATTGTAACTTTATTATAATTATATATATGCTTTCTGCCGCCTGGCAACACGCTACGGAGATTTTAGGCTAGTAAGTTGAGTTTATTATCGTCTGTACAGTATGTAAATTAGGTACCGTAAGTCTAATACAGCACTAATTTTATACATTTCTTGTGAAAGAAACACTTCTTATTCAACGGCCATAAAAATTATTTATATTAATGATGTCTCCAAAGGTCAAGTTATTTTTCTGCGAAAAATTTGTTATTAGAAATCGCGGCCGCCGTTTCATGTGCTGTTCCGCGACGAAAACCAGCTTTAAGCAACGGCGTAGTCGAACGGTACACACTCGGTAAGTAATCCTATCATTTTTTGTTTATAGCATAGTTTATACGGATTATTCCCAAAAAATTATACGTGTTTTGGAAATGTTGAGTGGAATTAGTCTAGAATCGGTTAATTTTATAGAAGAAAACCTTTCGATCAGCCTTAGTCCGTAAAGTTCCCACCTATCGGGCTGCGATTGGCTCATGTATTTAATCATTCCTATAACGTAAAATTCGATTAGCGTGGAACGTATCTAAGCGTTATAGGGGGGTCTACTGTATAGTTTGGCTTGCATTCTAAACATTTATCATGTTTAGAAGATGGCATAACACATATTTTACTTTCCTGGCTCTTTTATATCTATATCAGAGGAAAATTATAGGAACATTTTTCCATTTTTGACTCAGGGAACCTTGAAACATTGAGGAGGAAAAAAAAAAAAATTGAGACTTTTATCTGTATGTATGGATGTGTATGTGGAGTGGACATGATTCTGTTCACCCAATTTCAAGCTTAACAATTCCACGACATTTGTTGAAAATTTCCAAAATTTTGCAGGGAAGTTTGTATATTAGGGGATTGATGCTATTAAATTTGAGTAGTTAAAAGTCAAGAGAATGATAGATCCAGTGGCGTAGTGTAGTGGGGGTGGCCCGCCCCAAGTGGCACTTTTTAGGGAGCAGCAAAATTTCACAATAAATAATAATAATATCTTGTAAAAATTTGAACCATTCTAATCTATATTTGCATCACGCCTATGATAGTGCTATCATCTGGACAGTCTGGGAATTGACTCACTTTCTGGGTGAACTGGTAATTTCATCCGAGGATATCATGCACAACCTGTTGACTTTTTTTTTTCTTTGCTTGTATGATTCATTCATATTCATATACACCACCACTATCCAATAGAGCTATTTTTAACAGATTGCTGCACTAGCACGGAATTTTTCATTGCTTCTCTGTGACAAAACTGAATTTTAGTCTTTTAAATTGAGATGCCTAAATAATGGGGGGGGGGCGAACTTTTCCTTGGCCCCGGGTGGCTGACACACACACTATGCCACTGGATAGATCATATCTATATCTCAAGTATGATCAGACTTAATGAACATTTTACTTGTTATTAACATTTACAATTTTTATAAAATTCATCTCTACCCTCAAAATTAAGCCTTTTGCTATTTTATAATAACTAAAAATATCAAAAGTTTTTTTTATAACAAAATTTCATAAATAATGTGCCACACACACATTTATTTATGTCTAAAAATAAAGATAAAAATAAAATAAAGTTTTTAATAAAGATCTCATAACAGCCAGGAAAGTTATGCAACTTGTTGCTGGATTTTTTTACTAGGTTATTTAACAACTCTTACTAGTCAAGATGCTGAATGGTACAGAAGTAAAATTTTAATGTATAGTGGAGTTGATCCATATAAAGATGACTCAAATTCCTTAGAGGATCATAGTTCAAAGATATAATATGTTGACACCTTGTCTTAACTCAATTTTTAACTCTTAACCACACAAAAGCATACAAATCATTTAAAGCTCAATTTTATACAAAATGGCCAAGTTGATCCAAAGATTTTGATAGAGTTCTTCAGAACATACCTTTCCTAACAAGAGAAATTTAAGTACATTAAAACAAATTATAACACAGTTGTACAGTACTGACTAAAAATGTACATTTTGTGATAGTTTTACTGATCATTGTATAGCATCACTTCTAAGTACTATGTGGTAATTTTTTTTTTTGACAATTGTCAAATTTGTTTTAAAATTTACTTACACCATATCTCTTCATTATGTGAACCACTCATAGTTGACACTTTCCCAATTTAAAGTTTGGTTACTCTATCATGTATCAGGTGTGGTTAAAATGAAATGGAAACATCACAAATAGACACCAGGCAAAACACACATGCACAACACGTACAACTGGGACTCCAATACATCACATGCAAGTTGTCTATAAAAGTAGGCACAATTTCACTGATTATGACTAAATCTAATCCACAACAGAATTGATCAGCATCAGAAAGAGATAGAATAATACCTAAATCTATTTAATCTGCTATTAATCTAATATGAAATCTACTATTGATGAAAAAATATTGGAATTATGATCTTATTTGAACCTGCATCTTATACAGTGGTAGATAAAACTTCACTGCAAAGCCATTTAGCTAACAGTAGTTTATCTGAAACAATGAGTTTTTCATAAATTTTAAAATACTGTACTTTTAGTAATCTTTGATTCTGTTGTCAAAAAACTTTTCAACAACAAAGACAAATGTGCCGTAGAAATTTAAAAGTTATTAAATGCATTATCTTCTATAAGAAAAAGAATGAACTAATGTTTTTATCATTATTAATAATTAAAAAATGCATAAATGCATTCCTTGATTCTTAATAATATAAAAATGTAATTTCCTAATATCATAATTTGTGATAAATTGATTAAATAATCTAATATTGAAGTATTTAAATATATATATATATTTTTTTAATGTGTATTTGATCATACTATTTCATTCATAAAAGTTTCATAAAAATGAATTCAAATAAAAGATTATTATGAAATTTACAGCATGACTGGAGTGTTAATGTAAATATTCAACCATAAAAGATATTATTCTTTTTATGACAAGACTGTAATTGTAATAATGACCTTGAGGAATAGATGACAATGATATTTACATTACAGATTTTTAGAAACATAAAATTAGCAGACTTTTTAACCAAATATATATATATATATTTGGTTAAAAAGTCTGCTAATTTTATACTGCTAACTGTATGTATATATATATACAGTTATAACATTATACATATACAAATATATATAACTGAATAAAGGTGCAATAATTAGATGGAAAGCATTAAATACATTTACAGTTATTTCCCACCTAAAATTTATACAGTATAATAAATTTAAAAATTAATATATGGCCTTAGTTATATAGATTTTACAATTTGTATTCATTACATTATTAAAAATGACTATTAATGTAAATATTGTAAGCATATTTTGAAATCATGGAAATAAGATTTATTCAAGCGTATCTAATTCCTTATATAATTCAAAAAAAATAAATGAAGGACAAAAACAACTAACTTCCCACATTTGAATTATCAAAATTAAGTATTATTAAAATACACACACACACACACACACACATTTTATATNTTTTGTATTGCTTCAAAGAAATAGGTATTGAATATATTATACTTCTAATACAATATACTTATTGCTTAATTAATTTATATACTTTAAGAAGAATAATATTTTATTTTTAAGTCATATATTATATTAACAGAATTGAATTTTTCAGGTTTTATATTTAAATCCTGCAGAAAATTTCCACATTCATTGGCCAATGAAAAGAGGAAAATTAAATATTCATTCCCAAATTGGTGGATCTTTGACATCAGTATTAGCTGATATAGAGACAATTTGGGGAACTGCCATTCAACAATATTTAGAAATACCTCTTAAAGATTTGAAAGTTTGTAGTTTTGACATTATTTTCTGTATTTCTGTTATATTTTAAAATAATAACTCATGTTAATAATTATTAGCATTACAGAGCAGTATTAGTTGTATCTGATATTTATATCAGACAGCATGTGAAAGAAATAGTCAACTTACTGCTCACAAAACTTAAGTTTGGTGGCTGCTTCATTCATTTAGTAAGTATTTTATTTAAAAACTTTGAATTTGTCAAAGTGATAATGAATCATTTAATCTATTATTGATTTGAATATCAGTTAAAATTTTATTGTATTAGTATTTGTATTTATTTATTGTATTATTAAATATTATTTAGGAATCAGTCTGTGCTACATTTGGTGCTGGTCTTAGTTATGCTTGTGTTGTTGATGTTGGTGATCAAAAAACTTCAGTAGCTTGTGTGGAGGATGGTATTTCACATAGAAATACAAGGTAAATTTGCTCTATTCTTAAAATTTTTTATTTATGAATTAGTTTATGATAACTTAGAAGTAAATCATATAAGAAATGTTGAATCTAATTTCTATTTGAAGTTTTTTTCTTTTTAACAATCCCACAAGCATTAAATTTCATTTGAAATACCCTATTCATAACTAAGTAGATTTATCACACATCAATCTGAGAGGAAAAACTATTTTTACCTGTTTCATGCTCCAATGATGGTCCCAAAGATTTTCTGCTTTCAAATTCATAATGATTAACATAACTCTTCATAAGTTGATTCAGACCTAAATTAAATAATAGATTTTCAAACTGCTTGAAAGTCATTGCATCACCTTGTCCATATTTCTTAAAAATTTCTTTCAAAAAGAATCTATGATCGGCAGATTCGTGTCCATCTTCATCCTTTTCCTTCTGTTCATTATGAAAATATCCGTGACTATGATTTTCACTTCTAGAATGAGTGTTTTGAATTCTAGTGGTGCAAACTAACAAACAGGCACAAAATAAACTACAAAATCGTCCACACATCTTTCAAAATTAACTCTATAAACTTCTTTGAATAAGTGAATGATTTCTTGAATAGATTAAGACGGATCAACATTCAGCAGATAACTGAAAAGAAAAGGAAAAAAAATAATGTGTAGAAAACTATTGTTAATTCAATTTGTAAATTTAATTATTTCTCGCTTAATATATTCTAATTTTAACTATTACAAAACGCAGCTACAGGTAAGCGTGAGAATTTTGGGCGGCGTGTTTTCTTTGAATTTTTGCCAAAAAAGAGTCTTCTTCACTTCTGCATATGGTGCAAGGTCGTCTCTTTAAAGAAGCAAACTCGAAGGAAAATCGATCGCTTTACGTAATGTATACTTTAGTATCGTGTTGGATGTCAAATATTAAATAAATATATATACCCATTATAGACGATCTCCGATCAGATTTAGTTTTGTAAAAAGTTAATGAATAATTAATTAAACCACAGAAACAGCGTTAAAAAATATAGTATTATGCGTGCACATACAGAAAAACAACGCGCTAACAAAAATAATAAATAAATAAAACTATACTACCGAGATACTTACTAGGAATTTCTCTCATATCTTGCATACAAATGTTATTTAAATCCTTTCGAAACACAGTATTATAGCGAAACTGAACGACCTCGATCACGTGGCTCATGAACAGCAAATCGTAATTAGCTTTTTATCCTCCAATAGCTTATCACCTGTAGAATTTCAAATTTATGTAGCTTTTCTATGAGAAATGTAATGCGTTAAAAATAATGTTTCATCATTTTAATATCAGATTAACGTTAAAGAAATTAAGCAATTCCAATCAATCACGCACGACCGAAATCTGGACTAAAATATTTTCAGTCGTGCGTGTAATAACTAATTTTCAATTTTAGATTCATATGTGGTTTAAATATTTTTAAATTAATAACGAATTTTACTATCCTAAGCTTTCCGATTACACCAATGATGCGTCATATTAAACGGGATTTATTACAGTATAAAGACAGTACGAGTTTTTGTAAATCATACATTATCTACAAGTAAAAAATTATATCTGCAGAAAATCTGTAAACTTTTTTATTTTGTTTTATATACAGGACATATTCTATATGACATTTAATTTAATTATTAAACATAATATTCGAAACGAAAGTATAAACTTTCGGTTTTCCTTGGCCCCCCAAATCAAGGAAAACGAGGATTCTTAATGGCATAAAAACTAGGTTGATCTTTCCTGAATTATCATTAAGAAGCGCGTAAAATACGTGACTAAAAATACCCAGCATACCTGCGAGAAAAATTCAGAAAACGAGCTCAGTACCACGTAGATATATGTGTTTTTCTTTTTTTTTTTTAAATGCTAACTGAGGTGAGAGCGTGGAATCAAGTTATTAAGAATATATTTGAATTGTATTCATTCGAATGTTATTTAATAATTGATAAAAGAAGATGGAAAATCTGAAAAGATATTAATGTATGGAAAAATAACATATGCCTGAAAGAATGATAAAAGTTTAACAAACAAAGTCACTTCTGTAAAGAAGAGGAGCGAGAAATCAGTGTGACCTTGTAAGACATTCGTCGATACTGTGTACAGTACATTCTTCGACGAATAAACGATATTGACACTAACAAAAAAAAAATCGATAAAAATTACCGAGAAGCTTCTGACATCACAGATATACACTTTCAAAAGCAGAGGCGATCGAATCTTCCATCCGTTTGGCACGTGACTCGGCCATTGTCAAGGTCTGGGTGTGTGTAATTTAGAAAAAGGTCGAGATGTCAAGGGGACGTCTTAGAAATCGTCCTCTTCTAATTTGCTTAATTGCATTCCAATTTTATGTTTTTGCCTCGAAAATTTAAAAGATACCTTTGATTAAAATGTAAAATATTAATTTAACGCAGTAATCAGGATAAAAATAGCACTCGAAACGCGTAAAGGATTTTTTTAGGAGATAGAAATATAATATAATTAAAAAAAAAAGTATTCCGAAGGTTTACGAGTAAATCGTGGTGATAAAAATAAATTTAATTTAAATTCAGACTATAGCGGATTAAAATCGGCTTTTTTAAACATGATGAACGTTCATGAATTATATAACGCGTGAAAGACTGTTTTAAATTTAATTAAATCAAACAGTAAAAATTGAACGAAGAGACAAAGAAAGCGCAGTTTTTAATATTCAGTAAATGAAATTTATATTTATATTTCAATAGTAAAATAAATTATTATTTTAATTTGAATCTTAGAAACAGAATTTTTGCAGCAGCATAGTTTTGAAGAATTCCAGTATATATAATAAAAATCGTATTAAGTTTGATGAATCGGTAATTAATGAATCATTTTTAGTAGTCACATATACATATATTTTTAATAGTCATATAGCCTATGTCGATGATATAATACACGTGAATTGCAGAATGGAGTGAAGAACAAACGACGCGAATGAGGCTGCATTAAGTCGAATTTGTACCTGATTCTAATGCGCATCCCAATTTTTTTCAGACCAGAAAAGTCCAAAAGAGATGCGCATTATAATCGAGAAAACACGATATGTTACTATCAGGAATACAGTCGTTTTGCATGAATAGTTAATAAACATTCTTACGCAATTCAATGACATGTTTTGGAATTAAAATATTATAATTTTATTTTATTACTAAATTGTATAAAAATAGACAATAGTTTTTGTTTAGATAATAAATGCCCAAATTAATGTAGTATTGTTTTTCAGAATTACCAATTATAATTACGTAAAGTACATAAAATATTAATAGACCATTTACTATATTTAAAAGAATATTTAAATTTTAACATCAACAATTTACACGTGGCTGAACAAAAATAAAATGAATGCTCCATTTTAGATACAGTATTTTGTAATTTTACGTATCTAATTTGAAAAAAAGACTTCCAAATAGTCTTAGTACGCTATCGAATTTCATTTTTCGAAAGTTTACAAAAATATATATTTGTACAACAATATCAGAATATCGGTGGATTTAAAAAGCAAAAAATCATCCAAGAATTTAGTTGATACCAGAACTGCAGTCTCTTCAATAAGATTTGAATAAAATAACAGTTATATCGTACTACATAATATTTTGAAGATGTCAAGTTTCCAGCGAATAATCTAGTTATCGATATATTTCATATATATATAGATTGCGTAATAAAATTACAAATCAATACGCCAGTGTTTACTGTTTTCCTACAAATATTCAGTGAAATAACTATCTGAACGTAACACGGAATTTTACAGGAAAAATAGGCTTTAAAAATCTGGTAAGCATCGTGAAAGTCAACAAAACTTAGCACCATAATAATAATAATGATAAACATAATATAACAACTGCAAAAATTCTGCTTACCAAACAAGTCATGATCATTTACGTATATGTAGGTCTACACGCTTTTTATTTTATTTACTTATATATACATTTACTTTTATTTTACTTTATTTGATTTTATTTTTCCTAATTCGAATTTATTTTATTTTTCCAATTCATTTGAATTCTTTTTACATTTGAAACAATTCTATTCCGTTTATTCTGTACGCTGAAGATAACTAATGAAATGGTCAAAAATGTTTCTGATTAAATATTTTGTTTAGTAATTTAATTCATAAAATCAACAATGTATTTTACAAATTTATAAAATCAAACTCAATTTAACTAATATGCGATCATCATTGTCAAAGCTTGATCAAATTGTCATACGCTTTTATTGTGATCTTTGTCGAAATAATTAGCTATTTAGTTCATCTCTTAACTATTCAACATCAGTGACCAAAAAAGACCATTGGTGCTGTATACTTTGCAGAGCGATTTATTAAAACGTGGGAAAAACCCCACAGAAAGATTCTAGGTTTGGCAATTTTCCACAAATTGGGCGATTTCATACTGTATTTTAGCGTCAGAAATATTTTTCTTGATAGAGTTTATTTTGGGCAATTTACAAGTTTATTCTAGATTTTAATTTATCGATTCTGGCTATTATTTCAATATTTTTGCTATAAGTTTTGGCAAATATGGCGAGACGTCTCAAATACTTTAGATGTAGAAAAAAAATGGCGAAAGTTCAGCTTTTTTATACATTTCGAAGTACCTTGCAGCTCGTTAAAAGGTTGAAAAATTACTACACTAGATAAATTTTCGTAAAATTTTATAGTTTTCCTTCTAACAAAATTAAATATTTTCTATAAACACAGTAAATAAGTGAAGACAGTGAAATAATAAGAAAATTTCACGTATCGTTGTACAGAGTATTACTGCTATTAATTATTATTTTATTTTATAAATGATAATCGTTACCAATGCAATACAAAAAACAGCGAATAAAAATAACATAAAATTAAACTGGAAATGTAAGGAATTTTAAAAATAAATTTAATTAAGCACTTTTACGACAAGACTTCCTAATGAATAAAGCGCTTTAAATTATGAAAATTAAACAATTCACTTAATAATAAATTTATATACTTAATTAATTAATTGCTTTTTTTAAGCTAGTGCCAAATATTGCAATTTAATACTTTTTAATACATTAGCGAGTATTGCTATGTCTGTTTTTCAATTTATTATTATTTTTTTCGAGCTTTTTTAGTGAATATTTAAGAAATTTCATTCAGATTAATTCATTTTGTAGCAACATGTAATGAAAATTATATTTAAAATTAGAATAAATTCAAAGCGAAATAGTTTTAATAAGAACAAATAATAAAGTTACGGGAAAGTAACTGACAAAAAATTAGCCAGAGCTTAATAGAAAGGGAATGTTACGCAATAACGAATGATGGATGGTGAAATTCTTTAGAGGATTCTATCGCTCAACAGTTATCGATTAAATACGCTAATAAATTTTCATCAAATAATTAAAAAAAAATCAAGGATGTAAAAGTGTTTTCCTTAAGATAAAAATGTCGTTACACCCTGCCGACACGTGACAAACTATAGTTGATCCATTTTAATTCTTCCTTGAAAATAAATTATCTAAAACCTTGAAATAATTTCATCTGAAAAATTTTAGTTACAAGAACTCTTTTCCACAGTTCAGGGTAATTTCTAGTTTAAAAAATCCATATATCGACCTTTATACTTTAATGATCATAAAGTAAATACTTCAGTTTGGGCGTTTTAAGGGTGTTGCTTAAATGCAATAAATTTATCAAAGAATATTGTAGCAGCTATATTTCTAAATATCACAAAAGTATCGTACGACATTCGCAATAATCTTGAAAAGGCTGCAACTTAAAATAATTTATAAATTTAAAAGGAAAAGATAAACTTACAACAGTATCACTCATTTCACGCTAGTTACAGAAGCTCAAATTCAGCTGCTGGAATAGAAATCTGTAAAAATGTACTAAAAGTTTGATTAATTTGTAAATCTTAAAAAGATTTTAAGTTTTCTTTATAAATCATCTACGTGACTTGCACTATTATAACATTCTTCGGTTACAATGATACACAATGGATCGAATTTATTAAATAATTTAAATATGTCGTGTATAGTAATTCTCAAAATGTTATCTGTGGTAAAATAAAATGAAAATCTGTGCCGAAATATGAGTGTTCAGGCGAAGTGACGTCACACAAAAGAGAACAATACAAAACACAATTATCTTCCGTTTCTAGTTAACTGTCTTTATCTAAGCTTTCTTTATATATAGCCTATATACCGTTTAATATACATCCATCACAGCCT